GTTTTCCCAACACCATTTGTTGAAGAGACTGTCCTTTCCTGTTGAGTGGTCTTGACATCCTTGTCAAAGATCATTTGACCATATATGCAGAGGTTTATATTTGGGCTCTGTATTCTATTTCCTTGGTCTGTATGTCTGTCTTTATGCCAGTACTGCACTGTTTTGATTACAATAGCTTTCTGGTAAGCTTTGAAATCAAGAAGTGTGAGACCTCAGCTCTCTTCTTTTTTGAGATTATTTTGGCTGTTTGGAGTCCCTTGAGACTCCATATGGATTTCAGGGTGGATTTTTCTCTTTCTGCAGAACGCTGTTAGGCTTGTATAGGAACTGCATTAAATGTTAGGCTTGTGTAGGAACTGCCTTGAGTGTCAGGCTTGTGCGGGAACTGCCTTGAGTGTCAGGCTTGTGCGGGAACTGCCTTGAGTGTCAGGCTTGTGCGGGAACTGCCTTGAGTGTCAGACTTGTTCAGGAGCTGCATTAAGTCTGTAGGTCGCTTTGGTGGTGTTGACATCTTACAGTATTAAGTCTTCCAGTCCGTGAACCTGAGATGTCTTTCCATTTATCTGTCTTTAATTTATTTCACATACATTTTGTAGTTTTCATTGTACATGCCTTTGCCTTCTTGGTTAAGTTTATTCCCTAATATTTTATTCTTTTTGGTCCTCTTGTAAATGGATTGTTTTCCCAATTTCCTTTTTTAATTGTTTATTGTTAATGTATAGAAATATAACTGAATTTTGTACAGTCATGTAACTTTTTAAAAGTAGACATTATATACAAATGGAAAAGTCTCCAGGATACATTATTAAATAAAAACAAATACATACTGTAGAATAATTCAGTAAGATCCAACTTATGTAAATAAATCTCTATGTACATTTACAGACTATTACTGTCTATAATGAGCTTCTTTTTTCCCATTTACCCTGGGGGACAATACTCCTGCCTTGGAACAGCTTTCTCTTCCTCTCTGCCTATGCTTCAGTCTTTCTCTCCTAGAAGGCATTTTCACTTGCTCTATATCTTGTGTTCTCAGCTTGTCTATAATTTAGATCAACCATGGGCCAAAGGCACTTAACCTTGCTTTAAAATTTATAATTTCCACTTTTATGAGGAGAATGTTTCTTTAAATAGACTTTTGAAAATAAGATACAACAGTCAGTAGTTGCTTTTAAACAAATGCAGAATGCAGTCACAGGGCCCCCTGAGAAGGGGCAGCAGAGGAGGAGTGAGGGAAGAGGAGAGTTACACTCACTGGGACCAGCCTGTCTGTGGTATTAAGTTCATGCTTGAATCACCTGTGTTGATAAAAGGGTCTGACTGGGAGTTCTCTGGGGCCGTTCTGTTCATCAGGGTTTCTGATATCTGCAATGGCAGGCTGCAATCAGCTTGGTCTTGTGATAGCGTGTTCCTGCTGGAATCACCCTTGTGGATAAAGGAGTGTGTCTGGGCATTTCCAGAGGCCCCTGTGGTTTTCGGAGCACCAGAGGGCTGCATTAGTAGGTCTCTCATCTCCTCTTGGAGTGCCCGTTTTCAGTCCTGCTTGATGTGTCTTTCTCTGGAAGTGAGTTTCTCTAGTGTATCTCAACAGAAATTTCAAACTTTGTGATTAGTTGTCTTATTCTCATATAAAGGACACAATTTTTTTCGTTATTTAATAATTAGAGCTATTAGATTTGCTCATAACCATGGTAGCTGAAATACTTTCTAGGCTGCGTTCAGTTTTGAACTTTGTCTCACTCTGCTTTGTTTTTGTACATATTCCCATATTTAAGAGTAAAGATGCAAGATTCTGAATTATAGTATCTGACAGGCTAGTCCCAAAGACTGTGTGTTCCCCGCCTTAATTTCTCATGTAGTTAGTAGTTATCTCTGTGCTCACCATTGTCAGAAGCTCGTGCCTATTGCCAGCAGTAAGGGGGTAGGTAAGTAAAATATGGTTTGTCCATATCCACTCTAGAAAATCGAGCAGCTACTAAAAATTATAATTTGAAGATTATGTAACAGCATGGGAAAATGCATATCATCTAATCTAAGTGGAAAAGTAAAGCTAAAAAGGATCTTATATGTATGCAAATTAATCATAATTGCAATGTTAAAAAAAAATTTCAAGGGACAAAACTCTGAAATATTCCAGAATTCTAATAGTGGTTATGTAAAGTTGGTGTCATTGGATGACTTTTTTTATTCTTCTTTTTTTTCCTAATGTAAATATAGATTATTATAAAAACTTTTTCAAACATCTGTGGCTAACAGGGAGCTGAGAGTTTTTACTGGGCTAGTATAGGATTATATGCTGATACCCTAATTTCATATCCACACTTGTAACGTCAGTCTTTGTCTCCTTTTACCAAGGAGTCCATGTATTAGGTTCCCTTTGGTTAAGAATTATTTGTGGATAAATGAATTTATATAACATGCTTTTCTTAAGCAGTATATGAAAAGTATGTATTAAGAAAAGATGA